CTGAAAACAGTAACACCTAGAATAGATTTGTACGTATCAGGCCCTCAGTAAAAACTTGTTGAGTGAATGGTGCAAAGTGTCAAAAGGAAATATACACCAAAAGTTTCATTATAATGAAAAAAAAATAGATAAATCTTTCTCTGAATGGCTTCCAGTCCTATATTTAAAAACACCATATGCCATAATGAAAATGTAAGAAATTTATTAAAAATTGAAGGCAAAAACATAATTTCAAAAGATTTAGACCTATGTCAGATGTGATAGAGTATGGATGCTTTCTGGAAATTCAAAATCAGATCCAAGAGTATCACTTTCAGAATGTTCTAAAAGATTGAGGTTACTTTTAGTTGTGTTGGATGAAGCAGTCACTATTCTACTTTCTTTCTTGACAGAAAAGTGTTTTTTCAAAGACTCACTTTTAAATGGTTCATTAACCAAAGAGCTATCTTGCCTGCTGCCTTTGCTTGTCCGGCTTATAGGTGAGTCGGAGTGGGAATGCAGGTCCTTTCCAGGCTGTTTCTTAGCACAGTGTTTTTTGGTGCAGTCACCTGTGTTAGTCATTTTCTCTGAAGAAGATCTGCTATTTCTGGACAACTCGTCTTCTTTTCTTTGACTTCCAGTTCCAGAAATCACATCTACTGGTGAAGAACATGTTCTAGCAATGAATTCTTCAAAAGACTCCTGCCGTTGCTCAGTGACTTGGACTCCCAAGTTGTCTTTGGAAGTTTCTAAGGCCTCCTGAGTAGAAAGTGGAACATGCAAGGAGTCAAGAGGCAAAGGAATTCTAGCATCACCTGTAATTTTCTGAAACTGGAGGGAAAAACAAAAGAAAAGAAGACAAAAATTAAGTAATGAACAAAGCCAGCCATTAAAAAGTAATGCCCAAAACTTAAATGTTATTCTGTGGTCTTATTATTAAGACAGTCAGTTGATTGTTCAGAAGATTTTAGAGCCAGTTTATTTCTAATTATATCTTGCCACGTGATTCCCAACTTAACTTCGTTATATCCAAGGCTATGTCCGCTATATTTTCAGACCTTTGGGTTTGGGGTAATTATTACCAATTGCCCTTTCCTTCTCATTAAAAACAATGAGGGAAAATTTTCCTTAAGAAAATTAATTTCTTTTCTATCCTCCAGCCACATGTAAGCTGTATCCAATTTGTGACTAGACTGTTGTCAGTTCCCACAACCCAACTGAGATTGGTTGAGACAGGAGATGGGGGCTCCAAGCAAGGTTAGAGGAAAAGCAGGCAGGTTTTCTCCTCCCATTCCCATAACTAGGTGATTAACTATAAAATATTGCCTATTAGTTATATCTGGATTACTTATTTTTT